GCTGAACCCATAGAATAAATGCTCAGTAAACTTCTGTTTAATGAATTAAATATTTTTTGATGTTAGTACAGCATATATTGTATATATATATAGAGGACATATTGAGAAATGTGGAACTGTACTATTAATCACATATTAATATTAAAATTAATGTAGCTTGAAATTTGCTTAATATTTTTGTTCATCTGTATGAAAATACCTGTTTTAAATATTTCTTTTAACTTGGTTTTGCATTTCAACAAACTCTTCTTTGCACTAGTTCAAGTAAGAAAAGAAATTTATGTATTACGTAAGTTTAAAGTGAGAAGAATCTATAGGGAAAAAATAGTATACTGAAGTCTCTGATTTTTTGGATCGGGGGATTACATGTAAAGATCTATCTTCTGAAACATTATATATTTGATGAGGAATCATACTGGAATATTTTCCATCATGAGGCTTACTCAGAAACTGCTGGTGCAGTAGAGTATCCAAAGAAGCAGAATCCAGTTTCCGAGGGGGCCTCGTGACATTTCTGTTCAGAATGGACCTAATTTACATACTGTTCACAAATATATAAACTCGTCAAGTTGGTGATTTAAAAAAAAATATTACTTTTTCAAAAGGTTTTCACTTAGTTGAAGGATAATAAGTCAGAAATCATGGAGGTAATAGGGGTTTCCTTCTTAACTCATTTAATATCTTGGATGTGTGTGTCAGTTTGAGTTGCAGCAAACAGAACCACAGCAGCTATTTTAAACAAAAAAGGACTTATACCTAGAATTTGTTTCTCGGAAAATCAGTGAGAGGGCTTGAAGAGTAGGCCCTAGGCTGGACCTCGGGGACTTTCTGAACACTGTGGTGCTACCCATGTGGCCTGCCAAGGGAATAAGGTGGGGCTGCTGTGTGGGCACCTGGAGTCTTCCTACCTGCCTCTGCCTACTGGACACTAGCACTCTGTCTCCAAGTCTGCTTACCTTGCCTCTTGTCACCTGTGAAGCTGGGAACTGAACCCAGAAGTGCCTCAGAAAACTCCATCTCCACAGCCTAAGAAAATTCCCTATTTCACAACCACCATTAAAACCTCAGACTGTTGAGTCCAAATGGTCAGAATGTAATTTGCATCCAGATCCTTTTTTTTTAACTTTATAATTTATTTTATTTTTTTTAAATTAAACATATTATGGGTAATTTTAGATGCCAATAAGAAATTCTACATTATCATACAAAGAAAGCAAACACTTTAATTGTGATGTGTATTTTATATTTATGTTTATAAATTGTATTTTGAAATAACCAGAGCATGAGGTTGTGTCGGGTAGAAGTGTATGTTTGATGATTGGCAATAGAATCGTGTACCAGCAATTTCTAAATTACTTAAAAGGTTTAGTTCTGAATGGTAGCAGTTTCACTGACTCATTCTAGTATGCTCACTTTTTAAAACTAGATGTCAGGAGTTATATAAAGCTAGAAATTCTAAAGAGATATATCCACTTAGACTCGGCCTGAGACTGATGTCTTCTTGAGAGAGACATCAGTATTTTTCTGGGAGAGTCTGGGAAATGGACTGTAGCCTTCCAGCCTCTGCAGCAGGAGGCATGCTGCATGAAGGGTGAGATGCTCATTGCCAGTGAATCACATCCACCACCCTGACCTTTTTAAACACATATCTATCTGTTAAAAAAAAAAAAAAAAATTGGAGTGACTAAAGAATAGAACAAAATTAAATTATCCATAATTTCCACACTCAGCAACAATCAGTATTACAATGGTAGTGCACGCGCGCGCGCACATACACACACACACACACAGTCGGGAGTCAAACTGAGTTTACATATTTGCATCCTGATAATTTCTACATTTTGTTCCTATCATAGGACTTTCCCCTAGTGTGAATTTTATTAGGAAATATTTTTAATGAATGCATATATTCCACTTATAGAGTCTACACTAATTTATTTATCATTCTGCTATTGTTGGACATTTATACTTTTTCCATTTTTTTTCACATTCTAAGTATCAATGCTGTGAAGATATAGTTGAATATAATTTTATTTGTTTTGAAAATGGTGACTTATTCAACAAGCCTTTTCCCTGAAGTGCTTTTTCATGTAGCCAAATGCCCATACTTTTCTGTAAGAAAGGCATGATTTACATTCATATCTTGAGATGAAATCATATTCACATACAATACTCATAAAGGGTAATGTGTAATGAATTTGTCTTTTGAATTATCTTTGGTTTTACTTTTCAAATATCAATTTACTAAATTTGTTGTCTAAATTTTAAGCTGTTTATATTTTAGTTTGAGAGCTTTTTGAAAGTGTGTACATAGCTGATTAAATGCTGTCTGATTTTCAGTTATGAAAAGATTGTCCATGTTTTTTCCCCCCATCCCCTGCCCATTTTCACTTTATTTCCCATCTCTGACCACCCTGCCCTTTGACAACCATCAGCTTGTTCTTTGTATCCCTGGGCCTGTTTCTGTTTTGTTTTCTTTATTCATTTGTTTGTTTTTCTCAGATTCCACTTTTGAATGAAATCATATGCTGTTTTTCTGTCTGACTTATTTCACTTACCGTAAGACCCTCTAGGTCCAACCATGTTGTAAGTGGCAAGATTTTGTTCTTTCCATTCCTGAAAATTCGAGTGTGTGTGTATGTGTGTGTGTGTGTGTGTGCGCATGTGTGCACACGTGTGCATGTACGTGTATTTCACATCTTCTTTATCCATTCATCTATCGATGGACTTCTAAGTTCCATCCACGTCTTGGCTATTAGTAGGAATGCTGAAATAAACATAGGAGTGCATATCTTTTTGAATTAGTGGTTTTGTTTTCTCTGGATACCCAGAAGTGCAATTGCTGGATCATATGGCAGTTTTATTTTTAGTTTTTTTGAGGACTCCTCATACTGTTTTCCATAGTTCCTTCTCTAATTTATGATCCCACCAACAGTGTACAATGAGGGTTCCCTTTTCTTCATATTCTGGACAGTACTTGTTCTTTGTTGTTTTATTGATGATAGCCATTTGGACAGGTGAAGTGATATCTCATTGTGGTTTTAATTTGCATCTTCCTTATGATTAGTGATGTTGAGTATCTTTTCATACGTCTTTTGGCTATCTCTGTGTCCTCTTGGGAGAAATGTCTCTTCAGGTTTTCTATCTATTTTTTAATTGGATTGTTTGTTTTTACTGGCGTTAAGTTGTATGAGTTCCTTATTTTGGATATTGACCCCTTATAAGATGTATCATTGACACATATCTTCTCCCATTTAGTAGGTTGTCCTTCTGTTTTGTTGAGGGTTTCCTTTGCTGTGCAAAAAATTTTTAGGCTCATTTATTTATTTATTTTCATTGTTCTTGGCTGAGGAGACCTAGCCAAAAATATATTGCTATGACTAATGTCAAAGAGTTTACTGCCTACGTTTTCTTCAAGGAATTTTATGGTTTTAGGTCTGACATTTAAGTCTTTACAACATTTTGATTTTATTTTTGTGTATGGTGTAAGAAAGTACAATTTCATTTTTTTTCCCCATATATCTGTTCAGTTTTTCCGACACCACTTATTGAAGAGACTGTCTTTATCTCATTGTATATCCTTGCCTCCTTCATTGTAGATTAAAATATAAGCGAGGATTTATTTTTGGGCTTTCTGTTCTGTTCCATTAATGTATGTATCTGTTGTAATGCCAGACCATGCTGTTTTGATTATTCTAGTTTAATATTACAGAGCGTGATTCCTCCTACTTTGCTCTTAAGATTTCTTTGGCTATTTAGGGTTTTTTGGTTCCATATAAATTTTAGGATTAGTTCTAATTCTGAGATGAATGCCATTGGTATTTTAATAGGGATTTCTTTGAATCTTAGGTAGTAAGGATATTTTAACAGTGTTGATTTTTCCAATCCACGAGCAAGGTATATCCTTCCATTTATCTGTATCTCCTTCAATTTCTTTCTTCAGTGTCTTAAAGTTTTCAGAGTATAGGACTTTAACCTCTTTGGTTAAATTTATTCCTAGATATGTATGTTTTTTTGATGGAGTTGTACATGGGATTGTTTTCTTAATTTCTCCTCTGGTTGGTCATTATTGATGTATAGATTTCTATATATTGATTCTGTATCCTGAAATTTTACTCAATTTATTTATTAGTTTTACTAGTTTTTTTGGTGGAGTCTTTAGGGTTTTCTATATATCATATCATGTCATCTGCAAATAATGAGAGTTTTACTTTTTCTTTTCTGATTTGGATGCCTTATTTTTTTCCTTGTCTGATTACTGTGGCTAGACTTCCCATTTTTTTTCAATATTCAGAGAGGATGCTTGGAAGTTAACATGTGTGCCA